TCCCTCCCTCCCTCCCTCCCTCCCTCTTGGTGTGAAGAATCAATGTAATGTTGGCAAGCACATTTGTGATTCAGTTTTTAAAGGTGAAAGCTATGAGATCTGTTTTTCAGGGTATGGATAAGTTAGTATATTATCCCCTTACCCCTGACCAAGCTATGTGTAGGGTGTGTGTGTGTTACTAATTAATAAAAGCCTTAAATACATTGTAAGCATAGATATAAAAATACGAACCACCAATTCTTACAGAAAAAAATTAACTAAAATACTATGGAGAAACCTGTTGCCAAATGATCCTGGAGTTGGTAAGAAAATGGTTACATTATTTTTTGCTTGTATGCTACAAATCATTTTATATGGGTAAAAATGGAAATATATTGTTTGTTTGAAAAGTTGATTTAGTGTAATGATAACAATTCTACATAGGTTGCATTGGATATTTATTGTAATAATTTTGCCATGAGGAGTGTAATAAACAGAACCAGACCCTTCAGAGGTTGAGAGAGAGAGCCTGAAAGTTCATTTATCTAGATCTTACCTGACAGAGAGATGTAAATGTTGCATATATTATACAAGGCACAATGTAATATATACAAGGCAGGTCTCATCAAAGTGCTACTAATTTTCATAGAAATATCTGTTTGCATGTTTGACAGGAGATGTACTCTCAGGTCTTTAGCAATCTGTAGTTTCCTTTTTAGCCCAAAAGTTGAAGAAAATTTCATGCTCTAGAATACCAAATTAGAAGCCAACTTTTTTAAAAACTGGCCTTGCCAAACTTGATGTCAATTTCTCTATTGATGAAGAATTTCTCTACTTTTTCTCTCTCTAGATCTTCATTGACTTGTCCTCATTGCCGGAAACAGAGCAATACTTTTGATCCTTTTCTATGTATCTCATTGCCCATCCCCTTGCGTCAAACCAGGTATGTTTGGTGACAGGTCATATTTCCGCTCCTGTGTTCTCACTAGAATGTACAGTATGAATTCCACTTCCCTTAATATTGCATACATTCATTTACATATTTTATCATCTCATTCATTTACATATTTTATCATCTCTCACTAATCTTTCTTTTTGATCTTTTTTTAAAATAAAAAAGTGATATTTAAAGTCATATTTTAAGAATCACTATTCTTGAAATGTATATTTCCAGACATATTTTCTCTTGAGATATGCATTTTAAATATTTCAAATTTTAATGCATAGTACTTGTGTAGTAAGCTGATAAAGGCAGACATTCCCATCTTTCTATTTTCAGTATGTCTGCATCAACAAGTGAATTTCAGAATTTCTATTGCTTTGTTTAAAATTAAGGTTTTACACTTAGACATTTGTAATGTAAGCTTTCTTTTCTTTCTATCATACTAAAAGTCCAATTTCATTACAATCTACATTTCATGTACAAACTGCCTTGGTACAGTTTATTGCCTAAATCAGTGGTTCTCAACCTGTGGTCCAAGGAGCCCTGGGGGCTGCGAAGTCATCCCAGGGGGGGGGGGTTCATGAAGGCTTGAAGAAATGTTATGATTTAAACCTTGAGTTAAGTCTTGTGGGTCAGTGGACATGGTCCGTGGCTACAGAAGGTATTTAAAGGGGGTTTGTGGTGAAGAAAAGGTTGAGAACCACTAGCCTAAATATTATTTAGGTGAATAAGAACAAAATTTATTGTCCTTGCCCACCAAGATCTATACATTCGAAAGACTCCAAAATTCACCATTCCTGTTCTAAAAGTTCCCAAAGTCCATTGAACTGACCAATTTTTTCTAGATAGCCAGACCAGAACTCCATTTATTACAATCCTCAAATTAGGAATTACATTTTTATAACTGTATTTCTGTTTTGTTTCTGCAAGAAGAAACTTGTTTTGGGAGGATAGGCAGTATTGGGAAGTATTTTCTCTTTTTTTCTGTCCCGAAATCTCATCTTATTTCTTATAGGAGGACGAGAACTGTCTTGTTTTTTTTCAGCAACACAAGCTGAGTGAGAAATACTGTCAGAAAAGGGCCATAGGCTGGAAATTGCTACTTTTTTGGCAGTTGGTTATGCACAGCAGGGAGTCAAGGCCCTGAAACTAGCAAAAACTTTTTTTTCCCCATTGAGGATACAGCCAAGTATTCATGAGCTCTAGGGAAGTCAGAAAGCTGGGAAATGAGAAGATGACAGCATTACAAGCATGGCTTTTAAAATTCCCAGGTCCTACTAAAAATATAGGTTAAATCCCTACCTCTTTTTAGTTTGAATTCTCAAGATACAGGGTTATGAAAAAAATTTTAGTTTTATAATGGTGTTAGTTGGACAAGAAGGGCTCATTACAAATCTGAATGCCAAAGATGAAGTGCGCTCAACCTCTTGAGAGCTGAACAGGAATAAATATGTAATGGATTGGGCTGCATATGTCTGACAGCTCTACCTTGTTCATGTTTCTTTGGAAATAAATCTCACTGTCTTCAGTATGTGCATTGCATTATCAAAACAGAGCCTTACTTTGAGAAATGGAACCTGAACTGTAGATTAAATGTATCTTTTATATATTGTTCCCATCTTCTCTCTAATATTATGTCATTTCAAGTCATCACATTGTTCTCAAGTGTTCTAAGGTTCTGACTGTACTTGATGTATGTCCTGGGGAAATGGGAAAAAGGCAACCACGAGCTCATAGGCGGTGGAGGAACAGAGTCCTATTAATTTTATGATAACCAGCTCACGCAAGCTCATGCCTTAAATAGAATGCTTACTGTAGTCCCAAAAGATGCTACCAGACTTTTCTGAATTTAGAAACACTTTGGTAGGGCTTCAGATATCTGATGTAGCAAAATCATTTCTATAGAAGCTTTCTATAGAATTAATTCCTTAGCTTTTAAGATGCATAGGATTTTTGTTCCCCTTGGAATTGATTTTTTTTTTAAAAAAAGAATTGCCTACGTAGTCTGGAATTTATTCTTTTCCAAATGGAGTCTGTTTAATGACTGTTTCTAAACAGCTTGGGGAGATTCAGTGTGTCCCTCTCTCTCCTTTATACCTTCCCTCCAACCTGCTTTCTGCTCTCTCTTTCCAGTCATTAAATCCTTAGAACTCCCTCCAGATTCTTGGTTTTATCTATGCTTGCCTGGGCTTGGCAGCAAAGAGCTAAACCAGTGTTTCTCAACCTTGGCAACTTGAAGATGTCCGGACTTCAACTCCCAGAATTCCCCAGCCAGCATTCAAGTTGAAGTCCGGACATCTTCAAGTTGCCAAGGTTGAGAAACACTGGGCTAAACAATGAGTCTTTCTCGATTGTGGGGATTCAGCCACCTGAGTCCTTTATCAATGAGCAGAAAGAAGAAGAAAATCTCCATACTTCTTTTCACATCTCTTAAAGTGCTTTCTCCAAAAGCCAATTTTATGGATACGAATCTTTGAAACTCCTGTGAGTTATATTTCTAAATAGTTAGATAGGTTTAGAATTTGTAAATGTTTCCAGGATAGCTGTCCATAGTGAAATTGGCACACTAGGTACGCACTTGAATGAGTGGTGTGGAGGTCTAGTGATGTAGACGCTCACCTCCCACTTGAAAGGTTGTGACTTCAATCTTAAATAGCAGCAGATGTTTCTCTCCTAGGGCACAAAGAAAAAATATCTGCTGCGAACTCTGTATGATATCAGGAAGGGCCTCCAGCCAGTAAATGCTCAGTTCCATCCAGTCGCCCTGACTTTACCCCAAATAGGGACTACAGGGTTGTAAAAAGGGAGTTTATATCTGCACTTGAATATTAGAAATGAATATTGATCTAGATCTTAAGGCTTAGATCTAAAAGAGAGGGACACAGTCTGAGGTCTTCTATAAACCCAACATGTTGCTCCAAACAAACTTTAGAAGTTGTTACTAAATAATGTTTTTATATGGCAGAAGAAAAAAAAGGAATATATATTTGCTAAGTAACACTATCAATTATATTTAATGTAATTTATTTAAATACCAATGAAATGAACTAAAATTGCTTTTTGTCCTGGCTATGTGTTACTTCTTGGAGCATAACTCTGTGGAATATCCAGTGGATAATATTCAGGAGACCTTTTTTGATCTAATATAAGAGAGCAAATTTCTATCTTTAACAATAGTGTCATTTGTTTTTGTATTTGTTAGCTTTACATCTTACTTTTCCTTCAGGAATTGAAAACAGCATTAAAGTGTACCCTTATCTGATTTTCACCACTAGTAACAATCTTGTGAGGTGGACTGGGCCGAGAGAAAGTGATGTGCCCTCCACAGCAACAGCTTCTCACAAGAAGCAGTCTCCAGCAGATTCTTTTAACGCTTTCATATTTTTCTTAATTCATATTTGCTTTTTAATTCTATCTTTCAACTTTTAATAAAAATTATTATTAAGAAACGATCTATTGCTAATGATCGCAATGGAAGAGGGAAGAGTTAAAGCCACCTTTCTTATCTATTATGCCCCTGATCCAAATTCAACCCATCTGTGGTTTGAAATTAAAGAAAAAAGCAGCATACTTTCATTTCAAGCAACACATTTAAAGAGGGCATAGGAAAGCACTCACTGAATGCTGCCATGTAGAAGTTTTAGGAGAAATTCTTCACTGTGCAACCAACACCAGGTCAAATCCATGTTCTGCTCCTGTCAGGAAAAGATGAATCATAACACACATTAAGTAGAAGAAATTACACCCCCACTCCATGTTTTAGACCTTAAGTAAGCATTAGTTTTCTTAGGCTTCTGCTAGAATTGACAGATATCTTGAAGCCGCACCTGTTTTCTAGCTTTGCATCCTAATTAACTGTAGGAACATGAGATAAGACTCCTTGGTTTCTTCCAGAATGCTTGCTTGCTTTCCCATTTTTGCCTCCCCCTTCTAGGTCTTCAAATTCAACTCTTTCCATTTCTTCTCAGTACAAATTTTATATCTTATGGGTGTTGAACTGAAAATAAAGGGCAGGTTGTTTGCGAATTTTGAGTGTTGTAGCCATAACATATTTGAGTGGGTGGGCGGGTTATAGGACAGTGCTGTAATGTAGCTCTTTCCAGCAATCTAGGAATCATTCTGCATATTACGCTACTGTGGATGTGGTTGTGTATTTCAGATTGCTCCTACACAATTCAAAGGCTATACTGCACATTATTTTTAATGAATAATTTTTAATATCCAAGGTGACAGATGCATTCTTAAAATTGCAGAAAGTGTCATTTCTTAGTGCTTTGAAAGGATCAGGGCTCAAAATGGAGGTGTTTTCTACCAATCTGTTCATCCCTGGTCCTCCAGTAGTATGTTTGCAATACATGTGTCCCAAATCTCCATGCTCAAAATAGGTGATAAAAAAATTAGGAAATGATCCAATTCATGTCTTTGTTCATAAGCAATAACATATAACTAAACAAATTATGTGGCCAAGTTAAGGCAGAGGATAAATGAGTGAACAAACAAATGAATAGACAGACGGACGGACCAGCAGACTGGATGTGAGTTAACTGTGAATCAGGGGCATTCTGAGTATTCCTCCATTCTAAATTCCCTTGTGTTTCTTTTTCTTCCAGGCCTTTGAATGTCACTCTTGTCTTCCAGTCCAAAAGCCAGCGATTTGTGCGTATAGGACTAGCTGTGCCTCTCTTCAGCACTGTGTCCAAGTTGAGGGAAATGGTGGCTGAGGAGGGCAAGATTTCACCTGACCAGGTTAGCCAGACAATTGTCTCTCATGCTCTGTTGTTCTGGGAGAGTTCCGTACCCTGTGATTTGAACATCACATTTTTTGAGGTTGATATCCTTAACTGGTCTTTTTGCAGGTAATCCTGGTTGAACTAAACCAGTCAGGGTTCCACTGCTCCTTCTCGGATGATGAGGATCTGAACTCCATTGCAGAAGGGGACAACATTTATGCTTTCCAGGCCCCACTCTCTTTTAGAAGGGGTAGCTCCTCCCGAATCTCAGGTACATCTTACAGTGGTGGTTAAAAAAAACCACAATGCACTTCCATTATTTTGCAAATTAATAACTTCTTTTTATCTACAACAGTGGAAAGTCAAGGCTCTTACCAGATACCTAAACCCTGTTTTGATAAATTATCATGGTTGTTGGTAATGAAAATGCAGTTTTTCCAGCTTCCTTTTTTTTGGCAGGAGCACATATTCAACACATACTAGTTTTCTTGTTCTTCTGTGAACTGATTAATTGGTGAATGGGATTGGACAAGAGCATTGGTAGGTCATATATATCACTTTCATAAGCCACCTGTTACCCTTTAGGCTATGGTTTGTATATTTGATCTACAACTATGCCGACAAATAGACTAATTAATACATGCCAAAGTCAAATTATGAGATTATGCTTTCTTAATGCGCACTGCAGATCATAAGTAATGCTCGCCTTTGCCATAATCTGCCTGAGCCAGAAAAGAAATAATAATATAACTTCTGAAATGCAGATAGCACTATTTAGGCCTCACTTACCAACAACAGTTGATACTGTTGCTAGTGACATAGTTTTAAAGTGAAAATATTTAACTGTCTTGATGAGATCAGAAGCAGACCAATAACTTTAACTGAAGACTAGATCTATCCTTTATACTCCTCTTGTACTGCCTGGCTAGCCTAGATTAGTAATAGTCCTGTCCAATAGCCAATGGTTAAGTGGGCTTTAGGGTTATTACAGCTCTGTCACTTTAACAGCTTATTAAGATTTGTACACTGGTGATTGCATCATGAGATTATTAAGAACAAAAGGGGTTTTTTGTTCCTTGGTCAGCTTTATTGTCCACTGTGTTTGTTTGTGTGTGTGTGTGTGTCTTTGTGTGTGTGTCTTTGTGTGTGTGTCTTTGTGTGTGTGTTTATTTTATCCTTGAAATTGCCTAATTTAATGTAAGCTCTGTACAAGAAATGAGTGGATTCTGAAGAAGCTGTTATATGAGCTAATAAACTAATGAATAGCTATTTCTGTGGAAAATTGTACAAATAAAGTATTCATCAGCCAAGAATTGCTTTCTTTTATCATCACCCTTCATCACCCTTTCTCATCCTACAACTACCTTTCCTTTAAAGGAGGTTGCACAAAATTGAATTCTAAATCCAAGAGAAACAGGAATTCATGTTTTTCCTGCTCCTATTTCTATTGCTTATGCCAGAGTGGATTTTTTTTTGTTTCATTTTTTTCGGAAGTTGTTAAGGGGTCCTCTTTTCTCCAAAAGCTATTAAAACATTATTATGCATTAAACTTTTTGTCACCCATCTTGCCATGAGGTGACTTTGGAGAGAACATGAACTAATAAAATAAAACACAGAATAATAATTTAAATTCAGGGCCTAGAAACTTATGTCTGGCAATAGTCTCTTCCATAAAGGTAGGCCAGTGTTTTGTATGGATGACTTCCACTTTGTGAAATAATGTTGCATAAGATGTCAGCTTGATGGCACCTCTAGCACTTTTCTGAAAAGCACCTAGGACAAAAGTATTCTCCTCTGCAGGGCATTTGATAGTTGAAATTGCCCAATGTCATATTATTTATTGACATTTTAAATGTTTTTATTTTTTTTATTGGTGTAAACCACCATGGGTTGTATGGTTTTAGTGGCATACCAGTCAATCTATCGATCAATAAATTAATCCATAGTATCTCATAGACAGAGAGATTTTGATATCAAAGTACTTTAACCGGTCAATCCCACACATACATTCTGAGGTAGTTCTGGACCTGTGATGGCTAACCTATGGCAAATGTGCCCAAAGTGGCACACAGAGCCATGTATCCTGATACGTGCGGCGTTGCCTGTCCCTCTTCTCAGTTTCTGGCATGCATGCATATGTGACAATCATCTGGCATTTGTGCATGCAGCAGTGCCGGAAACTGGAAGAACTGGTCTTTTGTTTTCCCGCATGAGCATGTGCGGTGGTCAACTGATTGTCATGCAGGCCTGCGTGCTAGTAACCAGAAGACCAGTGCCCGGTGTGCGTGAGTGTGCCGGAAACCAGAAGTTCATTTTCTGGTGTGCGCATGCCCACTGGGCAGCTCCTCTTCCGGGTTGTGTCCCGGACAAATGCATGCGAAGTGTGCCCATATATGTGGGCACTCCCTTTCTGGCACTTGATGCCAAAAATGTTCTCCATCACTGTCCTAGACTATCAAAGAACCTGCTCAGTCTCAATGTTTCTTCTGTTTTTTAGAGCTTTACTATTGGAGAATTGTGACATACTGAGTGTGATACTTGTTCCATTTCTGTTTCTTTAAATATATACTGTATAGTTGCAGCAGTTTGCTGACTGCCTTTATCATCCCTCCCTGGGTTTTCACCTGTACCTTATTACTATATACTGCTGAATGAATGAGCTAATACTTTGTAATAATATCAAAATCATCTTATGTGTGTTTTATATGCAAATTTGTAAGCTTTTTGCCTTAGAAAATATCAATCCATACTTTATTAATGAAAGTATTTTAGTCTAGCATATCTTTTTCTTCTAATTAGCCTGCACTAAATAGTATTTTTGACTGACAAATTATGAATGAATGCCCAATTCCAAGGTGAAGACAGCATGCTATTAATAACATTAAACATGTTTTGCATGCTTCTCCAATTTTTTGCCCCTCCAGATAACATTGCGATAACTCAGATCTTTCTTAAGATTTTTTCTTTCTTAAGAAAAAGTCTTAAGCTCTTTAACTATAACATCCTCATCTTGTATTTTTGTTATTTTCCAACAGAAAAAAACATTCTGTGATGTGGCTTGCAGTCTAAAGTAGAGAGGAAAAAATCCCTACTTACCTTTTTAGATGACTCCTTTCTTAAGATTTTAATGTTTAAACCATGAATCCTCAAACTGTAGATCAAGTGCTTTTCTCCTGGGGTCACAAGCAACTTAGAGGACGATTGCATACTATAAAAAATGATTAGAATTATGCAAACTGGGAATTCTGCCAAAATTTGCTTCAGGTTTGTCCCTCACTTTGCCTCAACAAACATGCAATGAGTGGTTGCAAAGCTGAAGGAGTATTACACTGTATATAGATTAAACCTTAATAATTAAAAGTAAGTTTATATTTATTTCTTACCCAATCTAATTCTAATGAAACCATTCATGTTGCTGAATTCCTGTACAGAATACCTGTATAATTTTAGGGGGTATGATGCTGCAGAATTTGAAACCTTCTGTTTTAAGGTGTTGTGCAGCATTAACCTTGGTTGTGATTTTTAATATTGCTGAAGCTGTTGAATCCTTAAAAAACCATTAAGGAAAACCTAAGAGTTTCCCATAATAAACTGGGGAGACCTGTATGAAAATATGACTTAGTTGGTTGTAATTACTTTTTTCTTGGTGTGAGGTGTTAAAAGAAGAAAAGAATATTGTATTTAGAGGTCTTGGACGCAGATGGCTCAATAAATCTCAAGAAAACTAGAAATTCAAACCCTCTTTCAAAACTGGACATTTTGAAAGGCATTGTCAAGCTTTTTACAGTCAACTAGTATACTTACTGAAGTAATCAATGTGAATACAGACCACAATATGATTTGGCCTCAGGCTCATATTTTACTCCTCTTTCATCAAAAATTAATAGTTACTTGCCCAGTTCTCATTGCCCAGAATAGTCCTATTATTCAATAGAGCTCCATAACATTATCTTTACTCCATAAACATCGATAACTTCAGGGGTGCTACTCCAGGTGCCTATCCTTTAGATCTCCAAGATTGCTACTTTCTGCTGTCAGATGCTCCTCATCTTCACAATCCTCTATTTTTTTTGTGTTTTTGTGTCCTGTCCTTGGGCTCTGCCCTACTCATCATTCAGTCAAATATATCAGAGAATGAAGACTGTCTTTAAAAGCATTCTCCATCCTTTCAGCCTTCTTCATCTGCTTTATCAACTGATACGCAGGTCAGCAATAAGACACCGTCATAAAAGTTCCATTTCTAAAATGAACACATTTAATCAGCTGATTAAGCAAGCCACAGTAATGTCAATTACATTATCACGAGTAGCATTTTCCCTTGGTGTTCTCAACCTTGATGACATTAAGATGCATGTACTTCAACTCCCAGAATTCCCCAGCCAACATGGACTAGTCCAGGCAGTCATCAGATGCCAAAAACTAACTCAGAGGCACAGAATAACAACAAAATCCTTACCTATAAGTTGAATGATATGGCAATGATCTGAAATACTGCTGCCACCATTTCACTGGGGCTTATGAGAACCTTTTTGGGTGCTGCTGTTTTGAATATACTCGATATGACTGTTGTAAGCTAGGATCTTACTAGTAGTATTTGTAATTGATTCCTGTGTGGCAAAAAAAAGGAAATCTGTTCCTATGACTCATACAAAAGGTTATTTTTAGCCTTCCTGAACTTGGCAGGCAGCCAAGCTATTTGTGCTTCAAAGGGTCAGACTTGAATCAAGATAAATTGGTTTTTCAGTTTGCAAATGCCAGGAGCGAAAGTGAGGTTTTGTTGTCAGTCCTCAATTGGTGGGAAGATGTAGTTAGGGTGGAGCCTATAAGGGATATAAGAGCTGCAAAGAGAATTTAAATTTCAGGTTTTCTATCTGCTTTCCCTTTTAGAATGAAACCTAGGCATACAAATCAGTACAGCTTTCTACCAGTCCAATACAGATTATTTCTAAAACCTGAAAGTAGAGGTGGAATAGGCAAGGTGATTTCAGCATAAATGAATGCCTTTAAATTGCAGTAGAATATGTTAGGGCATAAGTGAAATATTTTGGTAGGGTTAACTTTAGCAAAATCCTCACTTTTTGCTTGTTCCATGGTCAGTAAGAGACATCTACTGTTTCTTGAATGTGGGAACAGACAATGACATTTTCCACCTATTCACAACTCATCATAAATGCTTCCTCCCCCACAAAAAAAATTAGCTCAAATTTAGCCCAATATTGTTATGTCAAATCTCTCTAATGGTGATCTTCCAAATGCATATTCTGACACATAGTACCCAAATCAAGACACACTACACAGTCAACCACCATGTAAAACCTAACCCTACAATACCCAAAAGGGGTGTCGGAAATGACAGCCAGAATCCTCCAACTGCTAGGAATAACAATTAGCCCACAAACCCACAGCCACACTCCGCCAGGAATTATCCAGAACCAAAGAAAATATACAGAAGGATGAAAGAAACAATGTAATCTACAAAATCAACTATAACCATTGCAACCCATTCTATGTGGGAGAAACATCACGTCAATTAAAAACCAGGATTCATGAACACCAGCTGGCAGTTAAATGCCACAATCTCAGATCCTTAATATTTATTCACACCGACACTAAACAGCACCACTTCAATTGGAGCAACACAAAAATCATTGGCCTTGCTACCACTCACCATACTCGTGAGTTCGTTGAAGCCTGCACTCCCCAAGCAATTCCATCAATAGACACATTGACTTATAACCAGCCTATGAACCCCTCAGAATCCAAATCAACTGCACAGCCATCCAGAGACAACACTGACCTTCAACCAACCCACACAACCTCCCCACCAGCAGTTCTCCTCCCAATGACCCTGACCTGATGTAACCTCCCTATCACAAGACCCATCACAAGATTCCCTGATGACCCACACCTGACCCATCATAAGACCCTCACTTGACATACCCACAGAACAGCAGAAACAATGTTCTAAACAGCAGAACATTGACACTGACAACCCTAAATTCCATTGAAGATGTTACCTAACCTGGTAATGAAATGTTCAGAAACCAACCCACAGGCTTAGAGAACGAACCTTCACCCTTATCCTGAGCTATAGATGTTCACCATTATTGCAATATGTATGTATGTATGTATGTATGTATGCATGCATGCATGCATGCATGCATGTGTATATATATAATTGCTATTGTATTGTTATGTTATTATTGTTGTTATTATTATTGTTATTAGGTGGTTAATCTTTGGTGAGATTCACAGCCTTTGGGGCTGGTTGGTAGCTCAACAGCTTGAGTCCTAACCAAGGAACTGTTAAGGTAACGTCGGAGGATATAAGCTGTTCCAAGTAGGGTGGCTTTTTTGTAGAATCAGAATGTTCAAGTCCCATAAATTTAGAATTTCCAAATAGCGAGGTAGCTCTTTAGGTATTATTATTATTATTATTATTATTATTATTATTATTATTATTATTATTATTATTATTCTGCAACAGATATTCTCAGAGTTCCTCTTTCCCACCTACATACTATGAAATAGACGACTTCTTGACTCTTTCATAGCAGTAACTGAAACTTTTTTTTTCATTTTTTTGTAGCTTAAGAAACTCTTGTCACCTAGATACGTACATATCAGTGAAAGATCCATCTGTGTAAGGAAAAGGACCTTAAACCAAGCATTATGCTAACCAGTTGGACTTTTCACCTCTCAAAAATGTGGGAAGTCTCAGGAAGCTATGCACTCTGCTTGGCAGCCTCTGCTTTTTATATGCTCTGTCTTGCTTATTGATCAGACATGTTTGGGATGCAATCGATTGAAATCTCTGTGTTCCAAATAGCCTCTGACATTACATATCCCGTCAGACTCCTCGGGGAAGGAATGTTAGGATTCTCCATTATAAACATAATCATGTGGGGAGAATGATTGCATTGTTTTTCACTGTATGAGTAAGAATTGTAAGGAGCATTCAAACATGCAGGCTTCACACAGTCCAGAAGACACTTTAATGCTTAGAAATAGTATTTGGAATTATCCCATTTGAGAATTTCTATAGCTCTGAATTCTTAGACGTATGTTTGGGTGAGAAATCTGCAGAGATGGACCTTACAAGGGTGACTTCAGGAAGAAGAGAAGAGGTTGAAAAGCATTTAGCTGAGCTGTGGGGCTGGCAAGCATCTGTCTAGATGGCTGCATTTCTTTAAAAGAATGAGCTTGTAGATGCAAGACAAGAATGGGTCTGAAGACACAGTCTGACAGTGATTTATTGTTTCTCTGGACTAAACAAGAAGCCTTAATTGAAAAACATGAGAGGTGACAGTATGTGAGCAGATCTGGGAGATGGAATTTCACGAAATATCCTGCCTTTGGGACAGTCCTATTGCCAGCTTTCGTTAATGGATTATGCCGCCTAAATCTGTGCGGAAGGAATGATCCATCTTGAAATTGAGGTACAGATCAAGTTGGCTAAGGTTAGGGCTAGGGATCAGGAATAGTAAATCCTAGTGTATTGGTTGTTAGAGTTACCCTGCTGGAGGGGATCAGTTAAGATCATTTAGGCAAATATTTGTCTTAGGGAAAGACATTTATACAATATTTGTATGAATGTATGATTTGTTGGTCTTGACTTTTCTGTGGAATGTTGTAGAAACTGACAGAATCAATGTACTGCATCATAAACGTTTTATAGTCACAATTGCAGCCATGTGACATTACTTCACTCAACTTTCCTGGGCTTGGAAACTGAACAAGATGATATCTAGTTAGCATTTACATGGGATAATACCAGGAAAACCTAAAAGTATAACATAGACTAGAAGATTTTAAAAAAACTTGAAGAGGAAAATGTATGTATTGTTGGTAAAAAAAAATCTATTGTTTTAATATTTTATTTTATTAAACCAACTTATATAGCCACTGTCTCACAAACAACAGAGCTAAAAACAGTTAATAAATATATTAAATGTATTTGAGAAAAAGAAAGCCAAAAGAAACAATAATAGACAAAAATAGCAGAACCATCTCACCAGTTTACCCATCCCCTGGGGTCCTCAAGCCTGCTGAAATAACCAGGGGTTGAGGGACCCCCAGAAACTTTAGAAGTGATGAAGTCAACCTCACCATAGAGGGGATAAAATTCCACAGTGCACGCACCACAGCAGAAAAAGCCCACTGCTTAGAGCCCACTAAAACCATATGTTTTTGCTGCTGGATCTGATAGTACAGGTAGATAAAATTGAGACAAGGTGGTCTCTCAAATAAGTCCTAAGTTAATGAAGGACTTTAAAGATCAACACCAGTACCAGGATCCAGAAACCAATGCAGGTCGTGAAGCAGTGGTGTCATATGTGTACTACCAGAAACTCACATAGCTGCTCATACCATTGCATTTTACACCAAAGTATGTTGTAGATGCTTCCATATACTGAAGTTGACGTTTCCAGGCACTGTTCAAGGGTATCTGGCCCCATGTACAGTGTACTGCAGTAGTTTAAGCAGGAGATGACCAGGGTGTGAGTGACTATGAGTGACTTCACCTCATCTAGGAATGGGTGCAACTGGTGTGCCAGAGTTGTGCAAAGGCCCTCCTAGCCATAACTGCCACATGCTTTTTGAGCAGGAGTTATGAGTCCAGGGGGATCCTCAGATTATACACAATGTCTGCTTGGGGTACCGTGACCACATCCAGTACCAAAGATGGGACTTAAAACCCAAAGCCACTCCATTTTGCCAGTGTTCTTCTGAAGCCTGTTGATTTCCACCCAAATCCTCATAGCCTCCAAACACCAGGATAAGAGACAGCATCAAAGAAGCATTATCAATGTATAATTGATAATAGTATATCTGAGGATACCTCACCCATGGCAATGGATGAGCTCATCCACTGATATGTAGATGCTCAATAGAAAAGAAGAAAGTACAAACCCATGTGGCATCTCACAAAGTAGGGGCTGAGGGCAGGATCTCTCTTCCCCAATCACCACTGACTGGAATTGATCCTGGAGAAAGGAGGTGAACAAGCACAACACTGTGCTACCTACCCTTAGTGATTTGGGGTGATCGAGAAGGATACCACAGTTGATATCAAAAGCTGCTGAGAGATCAAATAAGATAAGAATGGATGCAACTATCAGCCATAGGAAACCAAGAATAACATGAGTAATAGCTCAAAGTACTTTATAAATATAGCTTATAATATCCAGAATCTTTCCACACTAAAATATACTCTGCATGACTGTCTGATAAATGCTGTGAAAAATTAGGGAGAATCTTTTCTGTATCTCTTTCTGCATAGCAACAATTCAAGACTGATACGTCTCTTTGCTCCTCTCTCTTGTAACTCATTGCTAGATTCCATCACATCAACAGAAAGGTTCCTGATCCCAATGGCAAGCAGAGTTATTAACAATTGGAAGTATTAAGTTGTATAAACAGACGTTTGAACAGCACATGTATGATAGATTCTCCTGAACAAAGCAAGTTCCACTTTCCAATGGAGAGTTGTATATCTTCCAACTGTTTCTTTAATAGGTGTGCCCCAATTTGTGCCAACATAAATAAGTTCCCATGTAGAGCATATACAAATATATCTAGGGATAGTCCAGAAAGGAGCAGCGGTTGGGTTAAAAAAGGGGAAATGTTAGCTCTGTCATTTTGGATATTTACATCCTAAATCCTCTGCCTCAGTTCAGCCAGAGCTTTATCAAGTCTCAAAACAGATAGTGCTGACAAGGTGAGACCATAGTATGCCAAATCATTAATTGAGAATAAAGAGATTATGCTAAACTTTAAACCTCTGAATATAATTGGACTTCTAAGACTGACCCTCTTATTCAGAATTAAAGTGATCTTCACAGTAATGATGGATTGGGAAAATTATATTCAGATTCCAAACTTGTTTACAAACTAATTGGCTGGTCTATAGTCAGGTCATATTTTCCACTTTCTTCCCTATTCCATCAGAAAAATGGAAATAGCATTTCCATTTCCATAGTGATCCATAGAGGTGACAAACAGTAACTTTTAACATTGTGAGAAGGATCTCATTATCTGATTTATCCGCATTAATAAACTGATCTATTCAATGCAGGTGCTTTTTGTGCTGATGACCTATGTCTCTTTGAAAGTTTCATTGCACTTAAGCCAGATTGAAGCATTTGTACATGTTTTCCTTTTTTTTTTTAGGTTGCCCACAGAGTCTCCCATCTTCTCCCAATTCTGCTGAGCCAGAGGGGCAGCGTTTGGTTCATAATGGGGCCATGTCATCAGAGTTCCTGCACCATGGTGGAGGTGGCAAAATCCTGCTCCTTGTCTGTAATTTAGCCGGAACAGGGCAACAGGCTGTGAGGTAAGCCCTTGTAGACAGGGGGGCTCTTTCTGCAACAGGATCTTTCAAAAACAGGCACTTGACCTATTTTCTTGCAATCAGGGAAAAGAATCAAATGGACTTGCAGGTCCTAGGTAAAAAGCTGTGCTATATTCCTCCCAGTCATTTATTAATAAGATGACATCTTACAGCTAAGCTTGAGTCTTTATTGTTTTATGGATGCGCCCATAGATTTTTCAAGCCAGCAAAATGGAAATGGGTTGTAATTGATGTCTTTCATGTTAGTGTTTAACTTCTCTAGCCTAGCCTACGGTTCCTTGGAGGTACTAGATAAAGTTGGTCAGGTACTGCAGCTTAACTAAAATACACATTTATTGTTCTTATAAACTATTTAGATTCTCCTTGAGATATTTCTGCAGATTTTTCCACCAATTCCTATAGTCTTCTAACATGGTTATGACTGATTTAACTTTATTTTTAAGGAACTAGAAATTTTTGTAAATAGAAAATATTTTCAAAGGTATCTTGGAAGTTGACACTTCTACGGTTCAGAATTTTAGTATATTCATTCTACCTTTTTTGTTTTTTTTTTGAATATCTATTGTCTACTGGCATCCTTTATAGCATAGCTGTGTGAGGTTGGGCCTCCTTCTGAGTTTAGAAATCTTTTGGATGGTTTTTCTTGTTTTCATCTTCAGTGCCTTTGCATGTTTTTTTTGTTTTTGTTGCAATGCTGCTTCTTGTCTCTTCAAACAGCTCTCTGAATTTCTTGACATTTCTTTCTGAGACTTGTCTTTCTTGGCTTTGGCTTCCCTTCTTGGCAATTTCTACCATTTATTCTGACATTCAACTTGCTTTCTTCTGTTTCTTGGAATTTGGCAGTCTCTTTTCATACTTATCCTTAACAAATCCTTTGATTCCATTCCACTATTCCTCTGGTCCCCTATCAATGAGTATGGGACTCGAGTGATTCCTTATATTGAAAATGGAGGGCATATGATCCAGAGTATGTTGTGGAACCTGGCTGTCTTGTTCTTCCACTTTAGTTTTGTTTAGAATTTGCACACCAGTAATTCTAGATCTGTTCTACAGTCAGCTCCTGGTCACAACTTTACCATTATAAATGAGCTATCCCACTTCATTGGACCAATAATATGGGCAATTTGATCTATGTACTCCATTTGGTGAGGTCCATAAATATAGGTTTGATTTGGTTGTTTGACGAACGTATTAGGATGGGGGGGGAAATCATTAAGCTGACAAAAACTGCTACATTGTTCTCATGCTTCATTCCTGTTTCCTAGGCCATACAATCAACTACAGTGTCCTCCTTACTGTTTTAAACTTTGACATTCCACTCTGTTATTTGCATGTTCTCTTACACGCTGAATTTGATCATAAGACATATCAACCTCCTCTTCTTTGGTATCACTGGTTGAGGCATAAACTTGCATAACCATTATATTAAGCAGTTGTCTACAAATCCTAGTTTTCCATCTCTCAGGCTGGGGGGTCAAACAGTACGCCCCTCAGACAGGGTTTGCAATTTGGGAGTCCTCCTGGACCCACAGCTGACTTTCGAACACCACCTGTCGGCTGTGACCAGGGGGGCATTTGCCCAGGTTCGCCTGGTGCACCAGTTGCGTCCCTACCTGAACCGGGAGGCCCTCACAACAGTCACTTGTGCCTTTGTGACCTCTAGACTGGACTACTGCAACGTGCTCTACATGGGGCAGCCCTTGAAGAGCATTCGGAGACTTCAGCTTGTCCAGAATGCAGCCGCGTGAGCGATCGTGGGTACACCTGGGTTCACCCACCTAACACCTATCCTCCGCGAGCTGCACTGGCTGCCTATTGGTCTTCGGATACGCTTCAAGGCGCTAGTCGTCACTTATAAAGCCCTTCATAGTATTGGACCTGGGTACTTGAGAGACCGCCTGCTGCCAATTACCTCCAATAGACCGATCAGATCCCACAGATTAGGCCTCCTCCGAATTCCATCCGCCGGCCAATGCCGACTGGCGACTACCCGGAGGAGAGCCTTCTCTGTGGCTGCTCCGACCCTCTGGAATGAACTCCCCATGGAGATTCGAACCCTCACCACCCTCCAGGCCTTCCGCAAAACCCTTAAAACTTGGCTATTCCGACAGGCCTGGGGCTAAAGAGCTTCTGCCCCCCTCCTCGAATGGTATGGTTGTTGTGTGTTTTAAATTGTGTACTGTTATGTTTGTCTTTTTATCCCCTGTCTGTACCCCTTTCCCTGACTGAATTGTGAGCCCCCCTGAGTCCCCTTCGGGGAAAAGGGCGGCATATAAATGAAATAAATCCAATCCAATCCAATCCTAACTGATATTATTTGTTCATCAACGCCATGGTATTCAAGTACCGCCTTTAAATTAAAAATAAATTAGAACTTTGAAACATCCTCAGATAATCCTCACTAGCAAGTGGAATGCCATCTGACCTAAGGGTCCCATTGTCTGCAACTGTATTTTTGATAACTATATTATTTATCCATGTGGCTTTCTTGTAATTTTTGTATTTTATTATTGTGCAATCTGAAATAACTCAAAACCTCTTGGGCTGCAGAGGTGTCACCCTTGCAGCTAATAATTGGATTTTTTTCTTTTACATTGCATGGTAGTATCAGTCTTCTAGTAAGTAGAGCCATCTGCACAGAAGTCTCTTTTTTAGCATATGTAAATAACAGGCTTGCTTGCTTTTTTTTCTGCATTTCATATTCTTTTAGGCACTGAAGTATGTTAATGTTACTCAGGAAAATTAATAAGAATTAACTCTAAACTGTATTAGCAAGTCAGGAGAGTGACACAATGACAAAGATTGGGAAGATGTCAGTCTATATATCAGTACAAAAGAAATGAGAAAAGAAACACAGTGCACAAACTAATGACAACAGGCATGGCCACCTACCTTAGAATTGATAATTAAGATAGTGGAGTGATAGCTCTGGCTTGTACAATCAATACCAACAGTAATGGAATCAGAAGTCAAGAAGCACTTGGCAGAGTAACAGTGAAGGTCTTGAAGAAGTATGTCAGATACTGTAATGTCTTTATACCTACAAAAATCAGAATTGTGCCAGCAGCGGTCTTCCTGTGAAATTCTATAAAAGCAGAAGTTGAACTTTGAAGAGGTAGGATAGAAAGAATATCAACACTTTTGAACTTCAGTATTGGAAAAGATCCCTGAGTATACTACGGATAACCAAGAAAGCAAATTTGTATAACAGAGTTCTCATTCAAGAGAGACACAAATGGCAAGTGTCATATTATCGTATTTTGGACATATTTTGTAAAGATCCTGTTTTTTCCATTACTCTATATTGCTGGGAAAGATGGAAGGAAAGAAAAACAGAAAGGATGACACCAACAATGGATAGGCGGGGAGTCTGTGGATGCATTGCTGGAAGATCTGAAAAGCCAGGTCATGGACACATTTTCCTGGATAAAATCTTAAATGTTTTTGTTATGATTTGACAGTGACTTGAAGCCATTAAATCAATGGCTGCTACTTCTTATGCGATCATTTGTAGTTTTTGTGAAAAAAACCTCTTTTGATCCCTCTCACTGGGGGTCAATGACAACTCACCGTGCCCAACTCACCACAGGACAACTCACTGCGGGACCACAGTTACACAAATATCAAAGAAACAATGGCATAGAATCATTAAAGAAAGGACGCAAACGAAGGGACAGAATGAACTGTGAATAGCAAAAATTAAAATGTTTTTTTAAGTTCATTTTAAATAATTAAGTAAAATTGTTAAATTGGTCCACAATGAGTTGTCCTGTGGTGGCTTAATCGTGACAAGTTGTCACCTGGCGAGTTGGCCATGGTGAGTTGTCCCATTCCCCTCACCGATGTGGTGGTTATTCTGTAGGATAAAAACCCTTATTGTCCCCAAAGCTGATAGAAGTGCACTAACAATACTGGAAGAAGATTCTGCAGCAGAGGGAAAGGCCTTCATGCTGAAAGGTAGCTTACTTGTTTCCCTCAGGATCCCCGATCTGCAGGGTTGCTGATTAGCAGCCAGATAAGCAGCAGCTGGGCTTGTTAAGCACAGTTTCCTTTGTGTTATTTGGCACAACACCTGGATTTTGTAATGTTAATGTTAAGGTCTGATAAAGCAAGTGTAACATTAAGTTAATAGACTCAGCTTGAGGCAATTGAGTTAGAACAGTAGTGGTGTTATTTCTGCCAAATCCCTGCTATGCAGCTGGCCTGGAGTAGGAATCCCGAGCCAGCTCTATGGTCTGGACTATGTTTTGCCCATTTGGATTATGTGTGGTTTCCTCCCCCCCCCACTTCCTTTCAAAAACACTTTTTTCCTCTTGCTGAAAATGAGGAACCACCCTCAGTAGCATGGTTATGAGTTGCTCATGGGAGGGAAATTGAATGCCAAAGCACTGTAGGCGGATAATGAATTCACTGTGCACATCCCAAATGTCATTAAGTAAGTCTCTGCATACTTGCAGTGGCTAATAAACTATCATCGGCTGGAAACAGCTTGTGAAATGCTGAGCTTTATGGCTGATAAATTTGTCTAGCAATATTTCCATATTATGCAGGAAAGCTCAGCCCCTCTTCCCCATTCTTTTTCATGGGCAAGAAGACCTTTTTAAACATTTGGTCCTTTCTGTTCTACTTTTTTTTTTTTAGTCAAAGGGGTAGTGCAGCCCAGGATGTAGAATAGAAAGAAAATTCATAGTTTTATAGTGATAGCAGCCAGTACCAAAAAAATAAAATTTGGCTACTGTCACAGGAAGAAAGCAGATGTGTCTTAAGATTTCTATCTATTGTTGGGTGTTTTTTTTTAATTTATCAATTAGATGTTTATGCCCTTCTGTAATTAAAGTTTTCTAGACATTTGTTCTACATTGCAAAATTATGAGTTTAGGTCTTTAAAAAGGGAGTATTCTGTTTGTAAAGGAAGACCATTTACCTGCCTTCTTTAAATTATTCCTAACTATCTTTTAATTCCTGTGGAATAGTGTGAGTTGCACAAGCAAAGGGAGGGAACTTGAAGAGTTTCAGCCTGTCAGTTTCACTGTCGGGCAGAGAATTGCAAGAATTAGGCTGTTAGCACCACAGTCTTTAAGGCCCAGCTTCCAATAGTACCTGAAGCCCTTTTCAAAGGCAGGAATCAAGCAAATCTAAATCTAAAGGTGGAATTGTAGGGTTCCAAATCCCAAAGTAACACATGTTTATTTTTCTCTAAAAGGAGATGAAATGCTTTCAAAACAAAACAAAAACAGTGAAATAGATTAGGCATCTAAAAACAGCACTAAGCTACCTACTATTTTCTAGGCTTGAAATTGGAACATCGAATTGAGTTACATTTGCTTTTAATTATAGAATCAAGAGAAATTGATTCAAGTCCATATGATTTTCTTTATGCCAAAAAAAAAACAAAAAAAAACAAAACCACTCTGACAATGCAAATCTTCCCTGCTCCAAATGTTTACCACAGATGGGCTAGCTAAGCCTGGCTTTCTCTAAAAACAATTATCTTCTTGATTTTGAAATAAAAATATGGTTTAGTTTTCTATTTGGGCAATGTTCTCAGTCTGTAAGCAATCCCACCCCTAGGCTAAATTTTTGAAACTCCTTCCCTGCTGCCTATTTTTCTTTTTCCCTAGAGTTTTTATATCATATCAATTAAAAAACATTAAAAGACATTTCAGATCAGATGCTAACTAAATGTAAGATTTCCAGGTAATATATTTAAATCAAAAGAGATACATCAAAATATTATCTGATGTATTCATGTTGCCCCTAGTTGTACCCATTTGTATACTTCAGAATTGAAATGTTCTCCATAGCTTTAAATTTCTTGGGAAACATCAAAATATGAAGGTAATCCATTCAAAACATATTTTCAGAGAGTTAAGTCTCCAAATAATAAGATATTTAGAGCAGAAAACCAAATTACCACTAGGTTGCAATACAGAGATCTAGAAAAGTTTTACAGCAAAGCTCCTGATGGGTTGTCACTGGATTTTTGCAGGCCGGTTATGGTAGCCCTTAGTTATAGTATTGCTTGGTTTTATAATGACACCCTTAACTGTATTTGTTTACTTAGTTTCCCAAACTCTTACGCTTTTTTAAACAAAGAAATAATTTGTGTTGCTAACAAAATGCACACACACAAAAACCCCATTTATTAAGATCTGTTGAGATCTCGCTAAAGCAATAGGATGATTAATACAGAATTAATGTAGGTAATGAAACCAAAATTCATTAAAATTATTACAGCGGGACGCACACTCGATCTCATGTTTCTCTCGGGGAAGTGGAGACGTGATCTGGAACTGAAGGGCATAGAGATCTCGCCCTTGTCATGATCAGATCACTTCCTACTGAGGCTGGATTTTCAGAAACCACTCCCACACTGCAGGGAGGTGGAGCCGATTAAATGGTTCCGCCCCAGGCGTCTGATGGACCCATTGGGATTTCAGACGGAGCTTGGAGAGATACCTGACTCCCTTGCCCACAATCCGACAGAGTCCTTAGTTGCTGCTTGGAATACAGTGGCGGCTGGGGCTCTTGACCGGATTGCGCCTTTGCGGCCTCTCCGCGGCAGTGGATTCAGGAGGGCTCCTTGGTTTCTGAAAAACTCCGGGAGATGAAGTGCCAGAAGAGACGCCTAGAGTGA